CAATAAAATGAAAATGAAATGTCCATTACACAAGAAATACAGAATGATTTATTGAGGCAGATATTAGAGACGCGTATTAAGATTAAAAACTTAGATGTAGAACAAGTAGCCATTGTTTATGTAGTAGACACACAACTTACTGATTATCAAAATATTAAAGATGAAACAATTAAAATAAAAAAAAGGATGTATTTTTGAGATTATAATTCGATATCTTGAGTGTATATGATCAGTTGTTGAACTATATGAATGAATTGTGTGTATTTGGTGTAGATGAGGCAAGTTTAAATATGATATTGTATGAATATTTGTGGCGTATCCAAAAGGAGTGTTTGATTATTGATGAATATTTAAAAGAATATGTTACATGTAGAAAGGTACTTGATGATGCTGCTAAAGCAGAAAAGGATAAATACAAAGAAATTGTTGATTCTGTTTGTGATATGGGTCAGGATCGTGATATTATATGTCAAACTATTGTCGATCATTTAAATAAGGGTCAAAGTTCTGAAATAATCCTTGGATATTTGAAAACTTTGGAAAGTGAAATGAAAAAAGAATATAATAGAGTTCTACAATTCAATCAGGAGCGTGAACGAATCGTTGCAAGTATCTGTCAATATACAAATGATTTGTCTGAACCTATGACCTCTGAAACATGTGCCGAGTTGGTTCAAAAACTGCGTAATGAGAGAAATGATGAAGATAGTATTAATAAATATTTGAATACCATGCAAACAAAACTGAAGCTGGAGCGTGAAAAAAGGGATCGTATTAAGTTTGAAAATGAGTTTTATGGTAAGTTTCTAAAATCTATAGCTGAAGATCAAGGTTTAGATTATCAAATATGGGATTTCATTCATGGGTTCATGGATTGTGGATGGAATGATGATTAAATCCATAAACATTTGGAAAATTTTGAGCGTGATATAAAATGGAATCGTAGGATCTATGGCGAACGGGATCGTGCAATTAGGCGAATCTGTATAGCCACTAAAGATTTGGGTAAACCTGAAACACGTGTAACATGTGATGCTCTAATCGATAAGTGGTATCGTAAAGGTTATAACGACAAAAAGGTCAACGATTTGTTATGGGATATGGTTCGTGATAATGAGAATATGTGGTACAAACGGCGTAAAGTAACAAAATCTGAAGTTGCCGAATGTCAACGTATAGCCGATGAAGAAGGGGAACGTCATGCTCAATATGTAAGGAATATAGAAGAAAGAGAACGTGAAGAACAAAAAAAATGGAATTATGATTATCGTAGATTTGAAGATAGACGAAAATTCGATGACGCTATGGGAAGATATTAATTCATGTATGAGTGTTAGTATCAAGTTAGTTTATTATTCCATAATATTGGAATATATATTATTGATGATCTCATTCTATAAATACATACTTCAGTTATAAAGTAAATCAGTTTTCACTGAAAAGTAAATAAGATTTCTATTAAGCAACTTAAAATATATGAATTTGTTTATATATGTTAAAAACAAAACGATTTTTTAATCGTTTCCTTTTAGGGGGCAAATCTATAGGTTGAACTATTTAATTCTTCATCAATATTAAAAAATTAAATAACCCAATAATAAACACATAGCCATTGCTGGTAATAGAATATAGAATATGTTACAACATGTATATATATTATCCTTTTTTTCAGGTGGTATGCTAGGGGCTTGTTCGTTTATTGGTATTTCTGTATGCATATTGATAATTTTTATTTTGGGATGTATTGTTTAAATTTTTGTATACTCGAAGTTGGATCCCTTGATGAGAAAAAAATGGGTTTTAAAATAAGTGTATTTTGAATTAAATATTAATAATTATATTATGGTGAACGTATATGTTGAAAATATATCGTTTGCAATTAGCTAATCTTGCATGGATTATGCTATAATTATTGTTTTGGATAAGGTTATTTTTATTTTTCAATATTAAACGCGTTGACTTCAACTTCAAACCTTATTTTTTAGATCTCGATGTGATCTATTAGAATTTTAAGGAAACAGGATTTAACTCAATTTCGTATTTGCTGTGTGGGTTTCATGAGGTCGGTATTTTGACCCATTCTGGGTACATGGCATCAGGTCCTAGATGGCCCAGACTTGAACTTCAACTAATTTTTTAATACTCGACGCCAATCGTGTTAAGATTGATTTCATATCTTATTTAACAGATCTCGGTGTGATCTATTCAATTTTTAAAGAAAGTGAACTTGAAAGTATAAGATAAAAGTGAAATCAAGTTTTTTCATTAACCACGATAATGGTCGCAAATTGAGTATAATATATATTAAACATGTTTTATATTTTTTAATTAGTTATTAAATAGTACGAGATGTGTTATGGCAAATGACAGATGATACTAATGAATCGAATTTTGGTTGACATTTGATGCATGTGAAATTGTATACAGAAAATGCACATTTACCCTTATGATCCACCATTTATAACGTAGAGGATCATCTACATTTTAGTCAAAAAAAAGGTACTAAAAATTGAAGATATGGGAATTCAGTGGTTTTGGGAAGTTAATTGTATTTTTACTGCCGCAGTCTGTGATTTTTTTATAAAAATTACATTTTATTTGCAGCGGAAGAAAACGAACCCAAAAGAAGGGGCGGGCGGTGAGATAAATATGGGATCCCCCGAAGAAAAGTCCATAAATATGCCCAAAAAGGGTATCGAATTTGCGTCTTCGATTACCCGGGGGGACGGGGTAACCGAAATGCGGCGTATCAGAATAGGACCCCTATTGTCCACACAACCCATTCAAGAAAACAAAAGTTGTGTTTGGGATGTG